CTGCACACAAGGACACAGGAGGGGATGGACCCCAAGGACACGTTCCCTGCTCAGGTCTTTCCCCATCAGGAGGATCCAGCAGGCAAGAGCCCCTCGCTGAAGCAGAGTGGGTTTGGGAACCTGGGCCGTGCTCAGCATCATCTCTCCCAGGTGCTGTTTTCCCAGTTTACCCCAGCTGGGAACCCCAGCAGACCCACAGCACGGGCTGGATGGGATTTCAAGTGACACACCGGTGGGGGTGTCACCCAGGCTGCTTGTGCGTTTCTCGCCGTTCCCAAGGGTGGCCAGCAGGGTTTGGCACAGCCCAGGACCGGCTGTGCAGCCTGGAGCAGCCTGTTTGTTCCTGTCCCACCTTCACGGTTTCGGGTGTCACCGGCGGTGCTGAGTCAAACCCGGGGCGCAGCAGAAACCGCCTGTCCTGGGAGGCACGAGGCAGCAGAGGTGTCACCAGATCGCTGTCACGCTGTGGGGCAATCACCCACGGCCGCGCAAAGCCCTCCTTCCACCCCCGCTGCTGCCCACGCAGAATTCCCGCTGCTCGTGGCCAGGCCGTGCATGGACACACCCTGGGGAAGGGCTAAAGCTGCTCACACCCAACCTCTGCACACCAGGAGCCCAAGGATCCAGCCTTAAAGGTCGTTATTGCTGCTGATCCACGCCCCAGGGGGACTTGATAAGATCCAATAAATCAAATTCCACGTGCAGAAAAGCACTGGAATACCGGTGTCTAAATGTGCTGGAAAATAGGTTTAAACTTCAGTGACTTCAAGGCTGATGTTCAATTTGTAAATGCATCAAACTGCTATATTTGTATATTTGTTTCTATTAATACTGCTGCTGCAGATAGGTGAGCAGGTAGGAAAAACTAATTTTAATACATGGTGAGTATTCCTTACTTCCTTGTTTTCCCAATACCTCTGGTGGAAGTTCAAGCAATCTGTGTGTGTTGTGATGGGAAACCTGAAGCCTCGAGTCCATAAATTCATGAACTGAGAGAAATGGGCTTCATTTAGGCACTAAATCTTCGAAAAATCTTTATAACACAAAAATGCAGATTTACTGAGAAATCAAAAGGCAACAAATGTCACGTCTTGAGTAAGAGGTTTTAAGAGCAGAAATTTTCCAGTTCTACAGTGAATTTTACGTTCTAGATGACAGAATCATTGAAACAAACCTGCTTTCATACGTGAACAATGTTTAATCGTTTCTCGGTACTTTAAGCCAGTCGTCAGCTGCGCCTCCGCTGCAGTAAATGAGAAATGAGCGAGAGGAATTCCGCTGAAACCGAGGCAGGGAGGGACTGGGGGAATGGAAGGTGAAGGCTCGGTTAAGCTGAAACAGAGAAGCATTCAGAGCCAAGTGTACCCCGACTGCCCTGGTTTCACAGCCGGTTATTCACCGTGCAAGCTGCAGGGTGTGACTCCACCGCTCGGTTCCTCTTTTCTCTTTCAAAACCGGTGAGTAAGAGCTTAAAGAACTCGCCCTCTGGGAACGATGTCAAATAATCCTCCTTGTTCCTCTGAGCTGTTAATTCAGAGCCCCAAATTGGAGTCTCTATCAATCTTTCATAAAGGTATCTAACGAATTTCTCTTCAAGTTATAATTTGGCAGAGCAAAACACTGTTTATCCAGCTGGAATAAATCCCATTGCCAAGTTTTTTTTGGCACCAAACTTTTCTATCAATGCAAACCCAGTACTCGACACATGCGGGGGCTGTACTTGCCACAGAAATCCTGTTCCAGCTGATAATGCAGATTTTTATGACTGAGATGGAAGGGAATTCCAGATTCTCAGTTAATTTATCACATTCAGCATGAAGAATTAAAGTCAATCTCCTAAATTACTTGATAGGAAAAAAAGGAAATTAGCACCTTTCAACTGATGTTTTACTACGGAGAATTTAGAATTTATTGAATAAATTGATCAATAAGTTGATCTAAGCATATTCTGCATTGCCTTAGTCTTGTCTATTTGATATGACAGCAGAAACTTTTAGATATCAGCTCATGTCAAAATATTTTGCTGCCTAAATTCCTGTCACGTTGTTTTCTTACAGCCATCATTTTTCAAGGAAATCAGATTTTCTGTCATCACAAATTCTTATTTTCCCAAAATAATCCCTTCTTTTCTGTTAAGGTAATTGCACGCTGCAATTTGTGTGTAATTTTCTTAGTAATTTTCTAAGAAACGTTTTGTATTTTATTCTGGGAAACATTAGCTGCCAAGTGTGTAAATCCTGAGGGGATTTAGGCACTGCTCACCAGAAGAGAGAGTTTGGGATATCCAAAACTCGCTTTCCATGAGGTGTTTCCTTTTTCCCCTTTTTCTGTCGCTGAGCTTTGGTGTCTCTCACTGCAACCAGACACCTGGAAGAACAAAATCAGTTTACATTTGTGTACAACTGATTTGAAGAGGAGCTTCCATGGCCTGCAGAGCTCCAGGCCAAAGGGCTTCCAGGAGGAGCAGGCTCGTTAATGCCTCATCATGACTCAAGCAGCAATTATTGATTGATGCTATTTTCCAGCAGTGTCCTGGCAACCAAGCGCTGCTCCTGCTGCCGAGGGGACGAGGCACTGCTGGTCCTGATCGAGTTCAAAAATACTCACATAAAAAAAACATCAAGGAAACGGTCAGGCGGATTGAGCTGCGTACGGAGAGCCAGAGCAAATCTCTCCAGCTTTTTGAAATATCAAAGGGTAACCTGGAAAACTGGAGTGCGTTAAAAGCTATAAATGATGGGTGTGTGCATGGAAAAAAAAAAAAAAAAAAAAAGGGCAAATTCCACTGTGCTGACACCTGCTGCTTCCATGACTCGTTTTTTGCTCCTTTCCAGCCCCTCTGGCACACGGTGGTACCTGGCAGGGAAATGGAAAGTGCAGTTTGCCCTCTGCAAATACCACCTAACCCGGGATTTCACTCCAGGGTAACCCGAGGGTCACACTCAACTGCTCCCAGCTCTCCTTTTACCACTATTTCTTTAACCTCCAGTGCATTCTGTGGGCTGTAAATTGCTTCTGCCATTGCAGAGGTGTTTAGCACCAGCATTTGGGTTCGTAGGACTTTTTTTGGCTCTGTTATCACAGCTCCAAAGACTGTTCCAGGTGGGTGGTGAGATTTTTTTATTCCATGTAAAATTGTTTTAAAATCTCAGGGATTGTACAGCACATGGCTATAAAAGGGGAGGTTGTCAAAAGGCCAGGAAAATAGGGTGAACTATTCCAAATAAGTGAATAATAAATAATGTCCTTTCCAAACAGCCAGGATCCCTGCTGAGCCATGAACCTACACATAAAACAGCTCTCAATTAAATGCTTTATTTCCATTAAAAACCGACTATTTTGGTGATAGTTACAGATTCTGAAGTCACAAAATATAACAGGAAAAGAAAGGTGAAAACCAAACGTACTGTGGCGACCTTTCTAAAAGACGTGTTTGTAAAACTGGCGAGGTTTATTAGCAACTATAACTGTGGTGTGAAACAAGGTGCTGCTCCACACCCTGTGAGGAGGATGAGCAAACCATGAGCACCTCGGCCTCCTCCTCACGGCTGATCCCGTGGATCCTGGGGGAGATGGGGAAGGGGCTGGAGCCCAGGAGGGGCTGAGGGAGCTGGGAAGGGGCTCAGCCTGGAGAAAAGGGGGATCGGGGGGCCCTTGTGGCCCTGCACAGCTCCCGACAGGAGGGGACAGCCGGGGTGTCGGGCTGTGCTCCAGGGAACAGGGACAGGAGCAGAGGGAACGGCCTCAGGCTGGGCCAGGGCAGGCTCAGGGTGGATATCAGCAGGAATTTCCCCATGGGAAGGGTTAAACTTTGGCAGGGGCTGCCCAGGGAGCTTTGGAGTGCCCATCCCTGGAGGTGTCCCAGAAAGGGCTGGACGTGGCACTCGGTGCTCTGGGCTGTTGCCAGTGTTGGGATCCGTCACAGCTTGGACTCGATGCTGGAGGATTTTTCCAACCTCTGGGATTCTGTGACGGCTCCCAAGGGCCCCGGCGGACACGGGGAAGGCCGGGCTCCCTGCTCCCCACACAACATGGCGGGCACGGCCCCTCAGGTGCCGCTGCCACTCAAACCCAGCGAGCCAATCAGGGGCCGCGGGTGGGCGGGGTTTCTCCGTTGGCGCGCGCGTGCGGTGACGGCCGCGGAGGGATCTGGGGCGCGCGGCCGTGCTGCGGCTGTTCCCAGAAGTGACGCAACCGCCGGGGCTGGCCCGGTGACCGCGTCCCGCGTGGTCGCGACAGCGGCGGGGGATGTCGCGACATGCGGGCCCTGCCGGGAACGCTGAGACACTGCTGGCGCTGACACTGAACGCTTCCAGGGCAGCGTTCGGGAGCGCGGTGTTCGGGGCAGCGGCGTGCGGGGCGCTGTGCTCTTCCGCGCCTCTCGCCATGTGGGAATGTTTCCTCGTTTATTGTGAATTTATTACGTAGAACGGCTAAAACTACTAGAATTGGTCCATTTTTATTTTGTTATATTGAGGTTGGAAGTAACTTTCCGCTGTATGTTTCCAGAGTGGAAAGGCGCAGCACACTTTTTGTCAATACTAATCCACAATCACATTTTTATTGAAGTTTACGGATCTTTTTCCCTATGTGACATATTCCGAGCGCCAAAACCTCTAAAGCAGGGCTTGGATCCAGATCCCGAGCCCTGGTTAACCACCTATGCGCTATTTCTACATTTTTATGTTTATTCTGTACCACGTCTCTGCCTATGGCAGGAGTTGGACTGGATTGACCCTGGAAGAGCCTTTCCAGCCGCAACTCCTGTGGTGATCCGGCTTTATCCAGCACTATTCCCGCTCCCTCCGTTATTCTGCACTGCTTTCACAAGCTCCCGTTCCTGTCCCGATCCCCTGTTTGCCGTGCCTGTCCCGTTCCCGGTTCCAATTCCCGGTTCCCGTTCCCGGGGCGTGTCCCGCGGACTCTTTTTTCCCGCCGCCCCCCGCGCACGCGGCGCTGGCGCGTGCGTCACGCGCGGGGCCGCGCAGTCGGCGCGCGGCCGCTGCCGGGAACGCACCCGGACCCAGCGCCCGCTCCGCCGCCATGGCCGCCGCGCACCCGGGCCCCGCCGCGCCCGCCGCCCCCGCCCCGCCGCCTCCTCCCGCCGCTCCGGGCATCCTCATCGGCGACCGGCTCTACTCCGAGGTGTCGCTGACCATCGACCACTCCCTGATCCCCGAGGAGCGGCTCTCGCCCACCCCTTCCATGCAGGACGGGCTGGACCTGCAGTGCGAGACCGACCTGCGCATCCTGGGCTGCGAGCTCATCCAGGCGGCCGGCATCCTGCTGCGGCTGCCGCAGGTGGGCCCTTGCCGGGGCTTCCAGGGGGGCCGGGAGGGACGGAAGGGAAGGGAAGGGAAGGGAAGGGCGGGCGCCGCCATTGTGGCGGCGGGAAGGGCGTGAGGCGGCGCGGGGGGGCGGCGGCGCCTCACACAAAATGGCGGCGGCTGGGCCAGGGCACTGACTGGGCTCCTTCTCCCTCCTCCTGCTCTGCCCTCACAGGTGGCCATGGCGACGGGGCAGGTGCTGTTCCATCGGTTCTTCTACTCCAAGTCCTTCGTCAAGCACAGCTTCGAGGTGAGCGCGGCCCGGGGGCACCGGGAGAGGGCGGCTGGGGCGGCCACGCGCCACGCAGGCCGCTCGCTTCGAGCCTGGCGGATTTGCTTCTAAGTTACGTAATTCTCTCTTTATCTGGGTTGGAAATTGTTTGCTTAACGGAAACGGGGCTTCTTTTCAGATTGTTGCAATGGCCTGCATCAATCTCGCGTCCAAAATCGAAGAGGCGCCTCGTCGGATAAGGGACGTGATCAACGTGTTCCATCACTTGCGGCAGTTAAGAGCAAAAAGGTAAGATCAGCTTCGTTATGAGCATAAGCACCTGTTACCACTAATGTTCGCTGCAGTTCTCAATTCACAGTATTTTTCCAGGCTAAGTTCAACGACCTAAAATTGAGAAGGGAGTGCCCGTTGGCTGCTGTGTAGGCAGTACAGTGCAATCTCGGCTGCTTCTGCTTTTGTTCGCTTGGTAGACCCGTTTGTCGTTGTTGACGTAGCTACGAGTTACAATTTGCAAGTATTGGTTCTAGTTTTAGGACCATGGTTGTGGTTTCAGGTCTGTTTGTTGGTTTTTTGGCGTCTCATAGTTACTGTAAGATAGTCTTAGGAGCGCATAGCCAGTTAGTGAGTTGCTGTGTATTCTCCACTTTTTTAGCCATACTTAGCAGTCCTGATGCTTTTTTCTCGTTAATCTGTGGCTGTCCAAGTGTGGTTGTGGTGTTAAGAAAGTACTACTTAAGAAGGAGTTGAACTTTCAGTGGTGCCAATGCCTTTTAAAAAAAGCTATTTTAGAAAGTACCTGAGATAAGGCCTGGTTTGGCCTGCAGTGTTGGCAGCTGTAGTGGTGAGGAGCGTGTAATTGAGTCTGGGAGGCTGAAGGCATTTTTAGGTGCAGAAGGTGAGAGCGGCGTTGTTCTGGTGTGCTTGTGCAGGTGGAGTGGGGCTCACCTGGCCGTGTGCAGCTGGGGTAGAGCTGTCCCAGATCTGAGTTCTAATGCTGCTCTTCGTGTTGAAAGCAGCGTTTTTTATGTGTAAAGCAAATAACCGATGCATTGAAAGGAGGAAGGCGTGGTTGAAGGGAAAGAGTTCTCTAGGTTATTGTTAAACACGAAATCTCCTTAATTCTGTCCGGCAGCAGTGTCACAGTCTGGGATTGGAGATTTCACCTTGGTTTCTGGTGCCTGATTGATTAAAGTTTCAGGTACTCTGTAGTTACAAAAGGATTTTGCTTTCAGCTACAGTGTTAAATTCACACTTCATTTCCTTTCCCTGTGTCACCAGGTGACGGCAGGAATTTAAACTGGTGTTGTGCAAGCTTTTCTGAGAAACAGAGTAGGAATCCCTTAGGGAAGCCAGCTGTTTGTTGGCGTCTTTATTCTGGTTGTGCTTCTGTTGAAGCCGGAGCTTTGGCTTTTACTGCCTCCTGATGGCGTTGTCCTAGTTAGTTCTAGATCCAAGAAGGAAGAGTTGGTGTTGAACTTTGGAGTTTAGCTTTGTTCTGGCTGGCCTTTAAGGCTGTTCTCCCCGATGGCCCTGAGAGAGCTGTGTGAGGTTATGCCAGGTGTGAATTCAGTGGGATTGTGTTCCACACTTAGGAAGGGAGTCTGGCTATTGGAATTGCTGGAGCAGGCTCAGTGATTAGTAGCGTTCTGGCCTCCGTCCAGGCAGTGAAGGTTAATTAATCATATGCCTTGCTTTTCTTTGCAACGAGAATACAAATTAGTTGTTTCTTTGTGCTGTGTGAAGGATCAGAGAAACTGAACTTAACCTGTGAATTTAAATCTTTCCAGCTAGCCTGTTCCAAATCCCAACTTGTGCATGTTACGTGGTGCCTAAAGTGCATCATGTCCAGAGAAATCGTGCACTGCTACCCATTATTTTCGGGAGAAATGGGTATTGTTGCTCTGCGATTCTGAGTGAATCTGCATGAAATGAACCTTAAAAATGCTGCAGTCTGACATTCAGACTTGCACAACCCCCTCCCCTTTTTTTTTTTTTAGCAAGCAGGATGTAAACGTTTTTCTGTACTTTTTACAAGCTGACAATTCCCATCACCTGTACACGTTATTAACTTCAACTCTTTTTTCCCTTGCAACCGACTATACAGCGACCAGCTACATTTACCAAAGCCTGGGTGATGTGGAGTGGTACATAAAGATGAAGCTGTCGTCATGGCAACAGTGAGTGAAGTATCGAAAATCCCCAAGGAGAAGCCAGTGCTCTGAGCATAGGTCACTGGAATCGGGGGACTAACAGGTTGGCCGCTGGTGAACCATTTGGAAGAACTCCTGTATCTTGTTATAAGCTTTTTTCTTTGCTGTCCAGGTTTTTAGAATACTAGCTTGACCTTTTTTTATTTTATTTTTTACTGAAGCTAACACTTAGGCTGTAGTTAGTCTCTCATACACAACCCAGAACTGAAACAGGCTGCTGTACTTTCTTTTTTAGTCTAGCATTTCTGTTAACTGAAGCTCTTAACCTGCACACGAATTTGGGGTAGTTTGGGTAGGCTTTGCTTTCTTTCTTAACCAGTTTTGGGTTCTTAGTTCCACTTTCTGGCTCTGTATAATTGCAGCTTGAATTCACAGTAAAACAAGGGTACAGAAGTCTTGAATTTGTATATTTTTATCAATTATGATGTAAGCAGTCCCTTCTATGTACTTGTTTGCAGAACTGGGAATTGCATTGGAATTTTCTTTTTATGAGACATGTAGTCAACAGAGGTGGTATTTCTAATGCTGAGAAGTAAGAAAAAGCTGAAAAAGTGTTTTGGACAAGCATATTTTCTTTGGGATCTTTACGAGCATATGTGATGTAGAACTGCATGTAAAAATGTTTGTGTGCATGGAGAAAAGCTCGTACTATGGAAAAACTGCTTTTTAAATAACTGTGTGCCAAAACCTCTCTGTTCTGAGCAAAGTGCAACTGTTGTTTAATGTAGAATGTAGTTTGAAGTTGATTTTATTTCTCTGAACTGTGCCTGAAAGCTGCAGAAGGTCCTGAGACTGGAAATGTGACTGGAGTGGTGCTGTAATCTCACATGGTGCTTTGAGGTGCTCAGTCAGCTGTTCCTCACTCAGGGGCCCTGCACTGGGGCTGCATTAATGACAAACGTCCTTAGTGCCTTCAGACTGCTGCAAACCTGTGCTGCTTGTGGCTGTGATCCTGGAGACAAACAGAGAGCTGTGTTCTTGTACTGGCCAGCATAACAGATCTCTGCTCTGACGTGAGGTGCTGGTGCCCTGCTGTACTTGTCACGGGTGCTGTGCTCGTTAGGAACAAAACTCCATGCAGGGCACTGCTCCTCCCAGTATTAGTCATGCCAAAGACATCAGAGTTCAATATTGCACCGAATGAAGCTGCAGCTGTGTGGAGAACTTAGGTCTCATTTGTCAGTGTGATTTTTAAAAAAGGTATTTGTAATTTATTTATTGTTACAAACACGTTACAGTGTGTGTTATTCTTCTGGGTTGTTACACGATCTGAATCCCAGTCAAGTTTTTATCTAAGTGGTGGATTGACTTCCCAGAGGGACCACTGTGTGCTCTGTTCTTAAAGATGAAGTCTTGCCTGGAGCTCTAGTGCTGCTCTGTAGGAACAGATTCCCAGTAGGAACTTGCAACACTCCTTGGCTATACAGAGTTTGAAGCTTATATTTCATATATAAGCTTATAAATTCTTTTTCTCTGCTTTGGTACTTGGTCCAAAGATAATTCTTGGACTGAGAATTAAGTGCAGCAAATGCACTGGCAAAGTTCCTCTTTTTTTTGGAGTAGAAAACAAAGAAGTTTCTCAAAGGGGAATTTCTGAAGTTTCTAACTTGTAAATAATTGTTTACCAACATTGCAGATCTTATGGCAAAAGTGTTAAATTGGTGAATCAATGCAGTAGAGAACTTGCAGAACTTACCTGTGCCAGTTATAAGGTGCAGTAAAACACTTAAAGTCTCCTGCAGATTTTTCTTTTTCCATGAGTGGATAAAAGGCTGTATGTGGAAGTCCTGTCAGGATAAACTGATGGTTTTCATGGCTTCCTTAGGGCTGTAGAACTCGTGACCAAAGGAGTGTGGGACAGCAGAGTAAAGCAAAGCACACTGGGCACCTTGGGTTTGCTGTCCCTGTGCTGTGGAACCTGGGCCAGGTGTCACCTGTTGGTGCTGATCCCGTGGCCCCGTGCAAGGACAGTGAAAACTTAAAATGCAGTCAAGGCTCCCATGTGTCCTGCTGCACTTGGAGCCACCTGAACTGCCTGCCAGAGCTCTCAGGGAATGCAGGGACATGTGCAAGGTGGGCTGGATGATCCTGAGCAGTCCCACTGGAGGTTGTGTTAATGGACTGGAAGTCATGGCTGTCCTAAGTGTGTATGTAACCCGAGATCTCCCACCTGTGATGAAGCTTTCTGCTGACACACAGCCTGAGCTCCTGTGGGTGCTGCTCTGCAGATCCTGTTAAAGCCAGTGATCTGGAGGTGAAACTGTGGAGAGCAGTACTGAAGGAAAGGTTATTACACCAGTAAAATTGATGGGAATGAGTTGGATCAGCTTCACTGCTGGGAAGAGCTCAGCTGGGTTGTTCACTGTCCCACTCCACAGCACTGTTCAGCCTGTCTCTGTGGTGCTGAAGTGTTGGACAAAAGCAGCTCCTCATTGAAGTAGTTATCCTAAAGAGCTTGAAAAACTTTGCATTTTCAGTTAATTTATGGGGAGAAAAGAAAACCAGCCAACCATAAACAGAAGAAAAAATCTCCCGATTTTGGGCTTATTTAGAGGAGCTGAAATGAAAAACTTTGTAAACTTGCCCTGATGAGTGAGAGTAACACTTAACTAGAGAAGTTACTCTGCTGGAACATGGAAAAACCTGGAGAACCTTTAAATAATGAGGCAGTAGTTGGATTGCAGGTCCAGCCTGGCACCAGGAAGCTGCAGTTGTTCATTCAGAGCTGGCAGCTGCATCTCAGCCCCTTGGGAAGAGCAGGGACAGCTCATGCTTCAGGTGCATGGTGGTACAAGAAGATGCTTTCATTAGAGATGGTTGTGATGTCCTTTGCCTGTGGCCATCGGTGCCTGTCCAGGTGACTGCAGAGGTCATGGCATAAACTGGGTTATTCCAGCCTTGTCATTAATTAACCCTTCCTGGGTGGGAACCTTGGTTTTTTGATTTTTTTTTTTTCTGTTCTGTGACCTGTCAGGGAAGAGAAGTGAGATCCACTCGTGTAATTTGCCAGTTGGCAGTGAAATACTTTGTCTGATACAACAAAAGCTGTGTTTTGAATCCACTTTGCATTACTTTTTTTTCTTTCGAAGGTAACATAAAATAAATTTGTGACCGGTGCTTGGGGTGTATCGTGTACACAGACCGTGGTTCATTAGAGCATAACAAGCTGCTAAAACATTATTCTGCTTTGGAAAGCACATGGAATGTGTGAGGCATATTACAGGGAAAAAGCTGGTCTGTCTTCAGGAGGAAGTGGAGTAAAATATCCCATGTGGAATGTTGAAAGGTCAAGTCTAAGCACAGGCAAAGCAAATATGCAATGGAGTGTGACACTTGTGATCAAGTGTACAGAAGGTTTTTGGGATTAAACATGCTCTAGACAGTTCAGGGTTTGGACCTGGGAGGAATTAGGATTGCCAGTGCTGGAGTTTAAAATGTCTCTCTGAAGTGAGCTGTTGTTCTGCACGTGCAGACAGCAGCAGGATCATCCCTGGTGCCCCTGGAGAGGGGAGCAGGCCCAGAGTCCCAGGCAGCTCCGTGTCCCGAGTTAATCCTGTGCTTTTCACACATCACAGGGCAGGGCTGGCTTCTCTGAAGGGCCAATCAGCTGCTCTTCAGTGCATAGGAAACTGCAGTTTTTAGGGCATGAGTTGCTACTTTAATGCCAGTGAGAACCCTGGTCTGGCTTCTGCTTTGAAATCCTGCCTGGCAAATCCTTCTGCCACCTCTGGCACGGAGAGGAGAAGTTCTTGGGAGTGCCCCCATCAAGCCAACTCCTTCCAGCAGCTGGAGCAGTGCAGTTTGCATACACAGGAGCAGAAGGTTATTTTTTTTTTATCTCAGCCATCTAATCTGTAGCTAGCCAAAAGCAGCAACTAAACTAGTTTATCTAAACTTGGACAGCACAAGATTAATGCTTAAACTTGCTTGCAGGAGTTGAAAACCGGTTTCTGTTGCCATTAGTTGGTTGGAAGGGAAAACAGAGTTGCCGTTATTTTTGGATATGCAAAACAGTTTTGATTTTATTTCTTGCAAACTATAGGACTCCAAGCCCACTGATACTTGATCAGAACTACATAAACACCAAAAATCAAGTAATCAAAGCAGAAAGGAGGGTACTGAAGGAGTTGGGATTTTGTGTTCATGTCAAGCATCCTCATAAGGTGAGTTCTCAGTAATAATGTAATTGTAATTCTTACTCTACCTTGGTGGCATCACTGGGAGCTGTGGAACAAGAAACACAGGTGTCAGAATGACCTGAATTCTTCTCTTTATTCCCCTATAGTTATTAAAGCTTTTGCTAGAGTACTTGGGCAAACAGCCTTTGGACTGTGAAAAAAGTCACTTCCCTGGGAAAGGGTAAAGGTGGCTGGTTTGAAAAGAGCAGAAAGTAGTGAGATAAAGAATTGTCTGAATGTGGTGGGCTGGTATGAGAGCTTAGAGTGTGTGCTTGGAGAGAAGGAGCCCCCATCCTTTGGGCATACTGTTGGATTTCATTTTGATACATGTATACACGTACTCCTGCTTTATGTGTTGAAACTGAGTCTCTTTTTTCTTTCCCCCCTCCTTATTCCTCAGATCATTGTTATGTATTTACAAGTCCTAGAATGTGAACGTAATCAAACCCTGGTACAGACAGCCTGGTAAGTTGCTATTTTCCATTCTTTTCCTAGCCAGGAAAATAGTAGCAGAAATAACAAGCCTGCTGATCCCTAGGCAAAGCAATGAGATGTAAGTCACCACCCAAACACATTTGGACAATCTCGTGGTGCTTGTTTCTGCTTACTATTTTCATGGCTTGATTCCAGCGTAGCGATGGAGAACTCAATTTAACTTTGTTCTTTTTTCTACTCTTTGATTGAAGGGTAGTCCCTGCTGGTAAGTCATAGAGCTCTGCCCTCTGCACCTCAGCCCATGACCTGGGGATGGCTGCTTTGGCTGCCCTTCTCTCCAGCCAAGCCAGTGCAAGCCTCAGCGAATTCACTGCCGTCACCCAAAGCCATCGGGCAGCACCTCCTAGTTCTGTCCTGGCGCCAGGATTTGTATATTTGGTTCTAGAAGTAACTCTTACAACTGTTTCTCAATGTCTTTGTTACCTACCTGCTGTATGTTAAAGGACACGTGGGGGACGATTCTGCCAGCGTTTCTTTCGTTGATTGAACATTTACCCTTGAGTTAAACAGAGGGTGACAGTGCATGCAGCATGTTCACTTAGCAGCCAGGCTGGGCATGGGGGTGTAGAGTCCTCACTGACTGACTGCTGTTCTCTCTCCCATGTTGGGAATTTGGAAATCCATGGAGCTCTGCTGCTCACCCCATCTCTGGGCGGGTGTTACTGGCAGTGCCAGCTCTGTGTGACCGCAGCAGCTCTGGAGGTCGGGGCCCAGTTCTAACTCACACATCTTTTCCAACACTCAGAGAGCAAATGGGGTGCATCTCCCTGGATGAAGTTAACGTGGCTCAGAGCACACCAAATTTAAATGCGCTCAGAGTTTTACAAACTCTGGGGGTCGCACGTAGCCTCTGGATAACGGCAGGTTGAAAATGCACCTTGCTCTCCTGATGGCTCTTGAGTTCTACATTGATCTTTAAATACAGACCCATTGCTGTTTAAAACAATCAACTGGAGAGATGCAAAACAGTTGTTAAATTGTAACTCAGTGGACACTTCCAGGGTAACTTCAGCTAGGAAGTGGCCATTCCACCCTGCTTGGATTTCTGCTACACGTTACTGCCGTGGCGTTTAAAACGGTGGCAGTGCTGCAGACTGTCACAGTGACACATGTAAACATCCAGCACAACCTGAAGGAAATCACGTGTTCAATGTAACAACAGAAAAAATAATAAAGTCAATTGAGTCTCCAGTATTGTTATCCTCTAAAAGAAAAGCAAGCAGGAGTTCCAACTGGTGCTGCTTTGTTTTTTCAGGAATTACATGAACGACAGCCTCCGGACGAACGTGTTTGTTCGCTTCCAGCCGGAGACCATCGCGTGTGCGTGCATTTACCTCGCTGCTAGAGCCCTGCAGGTGAGCCCTGCCCTCCACTGCTGCTGCTCTGCTTCCAAGGAAATTCATGGAAATATTTCATCAAAACCTGACCTGAAATCTCCACTAAGCTTCTCCTTGTTTGATTTTCAGATCCCACTGCCTACCCGTCCCCACTGGTTCCTGCTCTTTGGCACCACGGAAGAGGAGATTCAGGAGATCTGCTTAACAACTCTGAAGCTTTATACCAGAAAGAAGGTGAGTTTGACATGTTGGGGTTTGCTGCTTGATGCTCAGTGCAGCTTGAGCTGAGTTATGGTTGTCCAGAAAAGTTTGGGAATGCCTAATACAGATGTGCTAATGGGAAGGGCTCCAGTAAGGAGAGAACAAATTCTGGAAGTTACATTACTGGACAGATCATTAAAAGCCAACTCAGTATTTTTCAGAAATAAGATGAAATATAAATTACATTAGTTCACTTTCTTATCTGGTTGTTAATTCCACAGCCTAATTATGAATTTCTGGATAAAGAAGTAGAAAAGAGGAAAATGGCATTACAGGAGGCAAAACTGAAAGCAAAAGGTTTAAATCCAGATGGAACTCCAGCACTCTCAACGCTGGGTGGCTTTTCTCCTGCATCCAAACCATGTAAGTCTGTTTTCTGAATAGAAAAACTTTTTTAGGTTTTTTTTTTTTGTTTAAACATAGATTTTAAAACCAGTCTCAAAACCTTGAAACCAGATTAGAAAGAAAAGAGATGCTTTATTCCACATTTCCCCAGGTGCGAGAGTGATACATTAATAATATGCACCCTTAAGAGAATAATGAAGCAGAAGTTGCTGTGTGTTCTGAGATGTGAAGAATGGCTTTTTGGATTTAATTTGGGGGTGCTGCAGTAGCCTTCATGGCCCCTTTTGCAGTAGGTATCTGTGAAAATTCCTGCCCCTGATGGCTTTTAATGTGCTTGGCAACTGCTTGGTGCAGTGAGGGCAGACAGCTGATGGGCAGGAAAGGAGGAGGGAGAGGCCCAGCACTGCCTTGGCATCACAGGGAATTAACTGGAACATGTATTTTGAACTGGCCAGTCTGTCTGAGCTCTCATGGTTTCTCCTGATGAGTCCTGAGTTCAGAGGTCTCTGGGCTGGGCAGTGTGAATTTCTGATGGAGCAAGGGAAGTGTTTTCTGCAAGGAGGGAGCCGAGGGTGGAACAGTTTAAAAGCAGGAGCTCTGGTGGGCTCTTATCAGCCCTTCCATGAAAGGTGAATCCATCTCTGAGCTGCACCAACTGTCTGTAGAGACAGACTGACATATTAACTGGATAATTTTATTTGTTACTCATTTATATTTGTGCCATTATTGTAAAGATGAAATCTAATCTTGCTGGACAGGCTTAGTCCTTTCTATAGCATTGGAGATAAATGCCAAGGTAACACATTCTGTATTGTGGGGTACAAGGGCAGCTTCTGTTTTGTACCTTTTGGCCTCAGGCCAGCATGGCTGTGTGCCCTGAAGGTGCCAGTACTGTTTTTCCTTCATATGCAGAGGGTTTCCCCACGAATATCCCATTCCAGGAGTGAGTACAAGTGGAGAGATGGGATGAAATAATAAATGCAGAGTTCGTATCTACATTTAGTGCAAGTCCTGGTGAAGGTGCCTGAGCAGTGTACAGTGTGTTGATGACAAAGGATGAATAAAGAACTGATTCTGAATTGAAATTTAATTCCTAGCTTCCCCAAGAGAAGTAAAAGCAGAGGAGAAATCTCCAGTGTCTGTGAATACCAAAACCATTAAAAAAGAGCCAGAAGAGAGGCAGCAAACCTCCAAGAGCCCTTACAACGGGTAGGTAAAACTCTCCTGCTAAGAGAAGGCTTGAGTACAAATGCAGTGTGGGGAGCTCCTCCCGAGCCCCTGTGGTGTGTCAGTGCTGAGCAGTTGGGTTTGTGCCCTGCAGGCTGCGCAAGGAGAGCAAGAGGAGCCGCAGCAGCCGCAGCGCCAGCCGCTCCCGCTCCCGGACAAAGTCCCGCTCGCGCTCCCACAGCCCCCGCAGGCAGTGAGTGGGGATGGGGATGGGGATGGGGCTGGGCTGGGCTGGGCTGCTTGAGGGGCTGCTGCCTTCAGGGGCACTCCTGAGTGCTGGCCAGCAAAAGGGAGGGGGGAGGCTTGGCTTCACTTCAGGCTCTCAGTGCTGCATGTGGGGCTGTGCTTGAGAGCTCAGGCTGTAAAATTAGCCTGTCCTAACTGCACTGTACCTGGGGAGTCAGTGCTGGGCTGGTGCTAGTCTTCCCTTGATAGTCCTCACAAGGATCCCATTACAAGTGAGAGCAGTCTGTGGGAGCACAGTGCCCTTGGAAAGGGACAGAAGTGCCCCAGGTGTGCAGCCTCCTTGTGTCAGTGCTCCCTGGTGCAGTGCCTGGCTCTTCAGGGCTCTGCCCCTCTTGTGGTACAGGAAGAGAGGGATGCAGTGAGAGCTGCTGGCTTTAAATAGGGTTTCCTAAGAACATTCAGGCTCACATTGGAGGCTGCCAACTTAGATCTCAGTGTAGTCACTGAAGGAAAAAAGCAACACCCAGTCAGTGATCTGGTGTTGACAGAAGACCCTTGAGACAAGGTGGACAAAAGATGCTGAGTTCTGGTTTTAGTTTGAGCTGTTTATTTCAAACGAGCTCAACTAAAAGACTCACAAGAGTGGTTGGGGTTGGAAGGACCTTTAATCCCACATCACTGACCCCAGCCTTCCGTGGGGCAGTTTCCAAGACATTCCCTGTCCTCCCTCACTTACCCTGAGGGACAAAGGCTCATTCCTTGCAGTACCTTGGGCGCTGTAAGCGCTGATGTCTGTTTTTCCCGCCGTGGGGACACGCTGTAACTGTTGTCTCTCACACAGCTACAACAACCGGCGGAGCCTGTCGGGCACCTACAGCTCCCGCTCGCGCAGCCGCTCGCGCAGCCACAGCGGGAGCCCCCGGCGGCACCACAACCACGGCTCGCCCCACGCCAAGGCCAAGCACGGCCGCGAGGAGCTCAAGGGCAGCAGCAGGCACGGCCACAAGCGGAAAAAGTCCCGCTCCCGCTCGCAGAGCAAATCCCGGGAGCACTCGGAGGCGGCCAAGAAGCACCGGCACGAGCGCAGCCACCACCGGGAGCGGCGCGAGCGCTCGCGCTCCTTCGAGCGCTCCCACAAGGGGGGCAAGCACCACGGCAGCGGCCGCTCGGGCCACGGCCGGCACCGCCGCTGAGCCCCGGGGCCCCGCGGGGCTGGGCCAGCTCTGGCACTGAGCCGTGGGGCTGATCCCTGGGACCGCGGGGCTGGGCCAGCTCCGGCACCAGCACCAAGCCCTGGGACCGCGGGGCTGGGCCAGCTCTGGTACCGCTGCTGAGCCCTGGGGCCGTGGGGCTGGGCCAGCTCTGGCACCAGCACTGAGCCCTGGGACTGCGGGGATGGGCCAGCTCCGGCACTGATCCCTGGGACTGGGCCAGCTCCGGCACCAGCACCGAGCCCTGGGGCCACGGGGCTGGGCCAGCACCAGCACCGAGCCCTGGGGCTGCGGGGCTGATCCCTGGGACCGCGGGGCTGGGCCAGCTCCGGCACTGCCGCTGGTCCCTGGGGCTGCGGGGCTGATCCCTGGGACTGTGGGGCTGGGCCAGCCCTGGCACCGGCACGGAGTGCACAGGCTGTGGGGCACTGCCAGGGCTGCAGCAGCTTCAACCCCATCTGGTTTCCTAAAAGGTGTAGAAGAATTTTTTTTCTCGTGGGAAAGAAACTGTTACCAACTTTTGCACATAATACCTTAGCAGTATCCCAGAGGTGGCAAACGATCAGGTTCACTGTATGTATTAGAGTTGTGTATTGTTTATTGAGCTGAGAACTGGAGAAAGGATTTCTGTAAAAAAGCAAAACGTACATTATTTTTATACCAGTCAATTGCAGACGCTTATATTTAAGTATAGTTATTTGTTTAAACATGGTGGAGACTTTCTTACACTGGTTTTAGTCTGCATGTGTTCAAAGATTTTTACAAAAAATAAAATATAAAGCTTTTTTTTTTTTTTTACTGCCTGTTGGATGCCAAATGTGTGGAAACTAAACTTGGTTTTCTTGCACACCACAGCTTTGACCCCTGTGCCTGAGTGGGAGTCGGGGATGTAGGTGTGCTGCTCTTGGGAGGGGAAAACTGGGAGAGCTTTGGATGTTTGTGTCCTGGGGGTGCAGCTGGGGAGCCACGCAGTAGTTGGAATAAATGGTTGTGGACTTGTCTGAAGTTCAGCAAGGTGAAGCAGGGCTGGGCTGCTGCTGTGCCCTGTGAGAGCAGGAGCTGCTGGGCCATGCCTGGAGCTGTGCCTGTTGTGGTACAGGAGAGCTGTAAGGGGAGAGGAGGATCTGATTCTTCAGCTGCTGCTCAGGTAATACCAAACCTGGAGCCTGCAGGTGAGAGGTGTTTGCTGTCCTGCTCTCCTGGGCTCTCCCCATTCTGGATGGAGCCCAGGTGCTGCTGGCTGGTCCCTGTCACAGGGGCATGGCCAGGCTTTGCTGGGCAGGTGTTCCACAGCCCTCAGCAAGGAGAGGACACCTGAGCAGGAGCTCCGTGGTTGGTTCATCCCTGCCCTGTCCTGCTGGCCCCCCTTTGCAGCTGCTCTGGAAAGGCAGAAAGTGTGAGTGAGTATTTTCGAGGAGGAAAAGAAAATGTCTGTTTCTTGGTTACCACTGTTTCAGTCTGTAACAACTGTGTTTGTGTGTGTGTGGTGTTCAGGAAAATGTGGTTGTTGCTATGGGAATTGAAGGAGCTTTTTTCCCCCAGATAGAGCTGCTCGGATAGTACAGAGCAGAGAGAAAGCCTGGGTTTGGAGGAGCAGCACCTCTGCCTGCCTTGGGTGTGGGATTTGTGCTGGAGTGACCCGTGGAGGGCTCAGCCCTGGTTTGTGTGAGCACTGAGCACCGCTCTGTGCCTTAGAGCTTCCCTTCCCCGAGCCCAGGGGCTGTGGGACCCTGAATGCCCCATTCCCTGCAGCACCTGGCAGGAGGAGCTGCTGGGCACGGCCCCTGCACCACAGCTCCTGGCTCTCCTAAGACTTGGATGTGAAGTATCCCTGAATTTTGACGTTTTCATGGAGCTGAGTCACAGAAATGAATCATTCGGCAGGGCTGATGGACTTCAAGCACCTGTGCTGATCTCCAGAGTCACCTGAGGTTACACTCTGCTCTTATCTCAGTAGCTATGACAATTTTTTTTGACTCCTGGTGTTCCCCCCTCACTCCCGAGGTTCCCCTCACTCCCGGTGTTCCCCCCCCCATTCCCGGGATCCCTCCCCATTCCCGGGATTCCCCCTCACTCCCGGGGTCCCCCTCATTCCCGGGATCCCCCCCCATTCCCAGGAATCCCCCTCACTCCCGGGTGCCGTTCTGGGATCCCTCTGTAGGTGGAAGTGTTGCCGAGCCCAGCGGAGCCTCCTGCCTCTGCCGGGGCTGCGCACACCGAGGGACACCGAAGTGAGAAGGGGACAAATGTCCTGCCCTGGGCCATGGGGACAGAGCAGCCCCGTCCCTGGGGCATGGCCTCGGCTGGACACCCCAATTCCAGCTGCTGGGAGCCCCCAGTTCCAGCTGCTGGGAGCCGGGGATGGATCAAGGCCTCCAGGGGTGGCACCGGCCACCAGCTGTGGGAGATGCCCCGGGAGTGAGCAGGGACAGGGACAGCTCCGGGAACAGCCCCGAGTGACCCCAAAGGGTGGGGAAGGGGGATCCCTCACCCTGGCCTGGGCTCCTCCAGGTGTCCCAGAGGAGCCGGGGCTGCCCCATCCCTGGAATGTTCCAGGCCAGGGTGATCCCTCTGAGGCCCGGCAGGGGCTGGGCGGGCCCAGGGCCTGTGCGCAGGAGCCGAGGGGGGAAATCCACAGCAAAATTGCCTTTAAGCAAGTGAATGTCCTGAAAGGCCCTCACAGATTTAATTACCCCTGTCCAGGGATTGCTGCAGCTTCCCAAAATTCCCTGTGACTTGGGAACCCAGGTTTGTATGGAGCAATCAGGAGCTGAGACTCAAATGCCTGAGGTCCCCGTTTTAAAGTGATTTAGAGGGTGAGAAGCTGAGGTTTTATTCAAGGCCTGAAGGCTTTTCTATGCCTCAATACCCGTTTAAAGGGTGAGAACCTGAGGTTTTAATCAAAGCCTGAAGGTTTTTCTATGCCTCAATAGCTCTAAAAAAGGAAACGCTTTCAGTGTCTGCCAGGTGGAGATGGTTCAAAGTTTGCCCCCCATGCTGAGGAGACAGCGGGGTGACAGTGACTGAAACGGGACAGAGTGGAGGGGAGAGGCTGGAGCTGTCACCCTGTCCCTTCCAAGGGCATAGAGCACCCCCTCCAAGGGCACAGAGCACCCTCCTTCCTCCCCCTCAGCATCCCCTGGCAGCTTCTCCGAGCTGGGAGCCCCGGGCCAGCCCAGCCCCAAACCAGCCCTCCAGAATTCCGTATCTTTCTCCACCAGGATGCTCCGATGCCGTGGCCAGGCAGGGTGAGAGCACAGTAGTGCTTTGCCGTCAAGGAAACCGCAAGAACGAGCGGAGATGTTATCTCTGACATCTGGCTGCGATCAGCGAGCTCTGGCTGCCGTCCCTAATGGACGGGATGGCCCCGGGGCTGCTTTTTGTTTCAGGGCTCCTCGTGGCTTCCCCGGCAGCAGCGGAGCCGACACTGGGATGCCAGAGCTGGGGACACAAAGGCAGCACCGCCACCCTTCCCTGCCCTCTGCAGAGCCAGCGGTGACCTCGGCGTGGCCAGCGAGCAGTGACGTGTCCTCAGCCACCTGTAACCCAGGTGAGACCGGCTCATCCCTGCCACGGCAGGGACACCTCCTCCTGTCCCAGGCACTCCCAGCCCTGCCCAACCCGGCCTTGGGCACTGCCAGGGGTCCAGGGCAGCCCCAGCTCTGTGGACACCCCGAGCACCGAGTGTCCTGCTCCTGCTCTCAGGTTGTGGTGATCATGAGCTTTACGGTCCCAGAATAATTTTCCCTGGGTCAGGCTAAGAGAGATCCCTGGAGACTTTTGCCTTTTGGGATTTGTGCATCTCCTGCACACATCCTGCTCTGTGCCAGCAGCCTGCCCAGATGTTTTGCTCTCGTCTTATTTCAGGCACTGCCTTTGGATTAATTGCTCATGATATGAACCCTGAGTTGTGCTGTGATCCAGGGGAAGGGATGTCCCACAGATCCTGGGATGGGGATCTGAGCCCTGGTTCCAGAGCCCTCCTGCACGGCTCTGCCAGCCGTGGTTCCCCCAGGTCTCTGCTGCTGCCAGGGTCAGGTGCACACACAGATCCTCTCCCGATGGAAGTCCTGTGGACAAGGGACTGTTTCCCTGTCAGATGGATCTTCAGCAGGTTTGGAACATCCTTACTCAGAGCCAGCCAGAGGAAAGGATTTCTGTGGATTTCTGTGAACACAGAAAATCCTGAAAAAATCCAGAAAATCCACAGAAAATCCTGGTCTCCAGAACCAGCCTTTCATCCAGAGATCAGACATCCAAGTTCTCCCTGTGTCCAGCTTGAGCAGGTGAATTTGTGCCTCATCCAGCTCCAGCTACTGCTTCCTTCCACCACCCTCCAAGGAGATGCTGGGGTTATTTTTAGAAGGAACCCACAAAAACACCCCCTCAACCCAGACACCAGCAAACAGGATGGGGTTGGCAGCCACTGACTGGGGCCGTGCTGCTCCTGGGTTACACGCACGGAGCCTGCCCTGCCCGGGCGCCTCCCAGCTGTTCCCGAGGAGCCTTTTTTGGGTATTTTCCCCTAAAGGCACTCGTGGTTCTTTGTTCAGAACTTGGTGGTGATTAAAATGACCGCTCAGTCCCGGAAAGTTAAAACAAGCCCTGCGGCCAGCACAGTGCACAGGAAACAGCTGGGGAGAGGATGCTGGAACGGATTTCCATAAAAGCCAATGATTCACGGAAATGTTTGGCGAGCGGGGCCAGCCCCGGGCTCCTGAGGAGCTTCTCCCGACCAACACAATTCCCGAGCCAGCCCCACCCCGCCCGTCATTCCCGAATTCCCAGCGCCCGCCCCAGCCCCGGCCGTGGAGCAGGGCAGAGGGAACTCCCAAAATTCAGCCTGGGGGATGCTTCAGCCCCGATTTCTGCTGCCAGTGAAATGCTGCTCGGCTGCCCTGGACTGGGGAAAGGGATGTCAGGAGAGGGCAGTGCCTGAGTTACAGGGGCTGGAGGGACAGGACACAGGGAATGGCTCCAACTCAGGCCACAGGGAATGGCATCCCATCCCAGAGGGCAGGGATGGGTGGGATATTGGGAATTAGGAATCCTTCCCTGGCAGGGTGGGCAGGCCCTGGCACAGCTGTGGCTGCCCCAGATCCCTGGCAGTGCCCAAGGCCAGGCTGGACATTGGGGCTGGGAGCACCTGGGACAGTGGGAGGTGTCCCTGCCATGGCAGGGGTGGCACTGGGTGGGATTTAAGGTTCTTCCAACTCAACAGAGTCTGTGATGATGATGATGGTGATGGTGAAGGACATCTGGGCAGGACAGAGTGTGACCCTCCTGCAGGAAGAAGAACCTGCTGCATTCTGTGGCTCTCCAGGCTCCTTTCCTCTATGCCCACCAGATTTCTTCCAGGACTCTTTCCCCAGAGCTCCAAGCAGGTACTGCCAGCTGGGCATTGCTCCATGGAATGGTGCCAGGCCAAACCAAACCACTTTCCACAAACCATAAATCAGGAGATGGAAAATCCCCTTTGGTTCAGCTGCTCCTGCAGCGCAGGGCTGCTCCTGCCAGGACATTTTCCATGGATGTTTCCCACCCACTTGGAATGACTCAAGCACAGGGGCTCCACCACTGCAGGCATCCTCCCTGGCTGCACAGCTCCAGGGAGGGCATTTTCCTCTCTCTCACACTGAGACTTTCCTTTCCAGATGTCAGCTCTTTCCTCCCATCTGGACCCCCTGGGTTATTCCCCCTTTCCCTGACGTTTCCCACCCTGAGTTAATTCCGTGCCTGGCACCAGTGCCTGAGCCCTGCTGGTCTCAGCCACATCCCCCTGCAG